CTTCCGTATGTGTCTTTCGGTTTGAGTTGCGGGCCTATATTTCGAGATGGCTAAAGCTTGACAGAATTTAAGCGGAAGATTTTTTTTTTTTGATAAAATTTACCGGAAGAATATGCTGCAGAAAACGAATAGCTCCAATTATATCAGTTTTAGCAACACCAACTGTCACTTTCAGAACATCTTCCAGAACAGTGGACAATAATTTTCTTTTCTTTTCGCTTTCATGTTGCGCCAGAGTAGAATACAAAGCAAATTTACTCGATACTGATGCACAGTCCGAAGATGAATGCAGCAAATTTTCCAACTGAAATACCGGATTATCATAATAATAAAGTCAAAGTCAAAATCCCGTCCGTAATCGCACTCTGTGGGAGGCAGAGGTACTCGGAAATAGCCTGAGTGGTAGTAAATGCCGGACAGCAGCTACTCGCTGGGAAGCTGTCGACTGTTTAGAAGCAAGCCAGTGCCAATTTGGACTTCCTAACATACACCAGTACCAATTTACCATCGAAACAAATGAACGAGTCGTACAGAGACCTTACAGGTATCATAATTTGCTCGAGAATCGTACAGAGACTGATAGCACTGTACAGATATCGCAAACTGTTCAGTAGAAATCAACGAACTTCTCATCCAAGCATCCAATTCAACTTGTACAAATTCGACTATCGAAATGCGGCCCCACTTCCCTCCTGCCTCCGCTCCCTCCCGGCGCCTCTTCCTTCATTCACGGTGAGTTATGATTGCTAAGAACAGATGTAGGAACTTGCGATGCTGTTCGGAACATTCGTAAGCTAAGGGCAGTTGCATCAGTCATTCACGTTTTGAATTATCCACCGTCATTTGTCATAATCGATTCCTTCCCGTTTTAAAAACTTCTATCATACGCGCCTAGATACGAACCACCGAAAAAATATGAAATTTTTTTGGCCGCGAAAAACGATTTCGTGATCCAAAAAAGACAGAAAGCTAAAACTTTGCAGGGATATTCTCTGTGTAAGGCAAGGGTTTTCAGTTATCGCCCGACTCATCCCTCATGCATCTGCAAAATCTCCTTTTTGCAGATCATCCAAATGGATGTCCAATTACTCCCAAGAAGAGTAATAATTCATTATGATGAAAATATACTGACCAAATCCACTGATGCCATGCTGATAATATCTTTGATTGTTGCCTCATCGTACAAATCAAACACTTTGGCATACTTCCAAGTGACCAGACGTTCCAATTTTCCTCTCCTGATCATCCATGTCACCGATGTTTTTAACAGCTGAGCCAATTGCTCTGACTTTACTCCCGTTTTTTGCATTTTTTCCGGATGTTTACAAATCGTCTTTGTCAACTAAAATTTGTCCTTTGTTCAAGACAGTTTAACGATCTAACAAACAAAATTTTACACAAGTTATTAAACGCCCGAAAGTTATCAAACAAACAAAATTAAACAAAATCAAGTTGTCAAACAATTATACACAAGTCTATT